TGTGATTACAATATTAATATTATCATTTTCTTTTAAATTCAACCTTTCTTATTTTTTCTTGGACTTTCTTCAAAAATAATTCCTCTTTCACTGACAATTTTCAAAAAAAAACCCTCTGACATCTCTTCACAAGATGATTTTAATTCATAATTGATTTTCTAGTTTCCAACCACCCTTTTTCTAAATTCAATTTTGATACTGACAACCTAAATTTTGCTATGCAATTCCACTACCGGGCTATTTTTCATATCAAGTCCCCTAAATTTTGTGTTTACATATTACATTTTTTAAATAAAATATTAAGCACCAAATCAAATATTTTGATTTTAAATATCCAAACTTCTAAATCAAATTTTCAATCCTTCTATAATTTAAATTGTTAATTTCATTCTTACTATTCATTACTGTAACACTATAATTACTGCTAAAACTATACCTACTACATAAAATTATTATGCCATTTACTACATTTTAGTTAAAGTTAAAGTTAAATTTGCTTATTCATTCTTTTTAATCCATTGACAATGCCTTTCCACTATATTTTAGTTTTTCTACAAACATTTATTCCCTAAATATTATTCATCCAACTCAAATTACTCTATTTTCAGCTCTATACTCTTATCTTTACTTACCAGATGTCTTCAATTTCACTTCTCTCTCCTATTATTTACCTATCGAATTATAATCTATTAACTGTATCTATTTAACTTCGGCCCAGCAAACATTTTCGATATTATTAGCTATAACTCGACTTGGTAAAAGTCAAATCTACTTATTGAGGTAAGTATTACGTAAAATTGACTAGAAAAATATACCTGTACTTTAAATTTACCAAATGGTTCTAATTTATGTATAAATTTACGTAAATTTTACCAAGAAATCTACCTCTTACACATATCTGCTTAAAAGTAACTTTAACCAAATCAGAAAGGGAAAAACTACTAACAAAAATAACCAAAAATTACCTCAAAGGTAAATTTCCTTTAAAGTAAAATTAGGTATCATAATTAGGTAACATCTACCTGTTTGGCAACTAAAAATCGTCTTTATAGTAGACCTATAAAGTAACCTATTTGGATGCTGTATTTACTCTACTTTAAAGTAATATTTGGCCGATATTGTAGAAAAATTATACTTTGTTTTTCTACTTAATTTTAACCAAATAGTCAATTACTCATTTAGTTGACTTAAAAGTCATCCTGAATAAATAAATATTAACTTTATTACCTGAAAAATCTACTACAAGGTAATTTCGACTATAAACCACCAATTTAAAACCTGCCATACATAACCTATTTGTAAAATTTATATTATTTAGGTTATTTTAACAATTAGGTTGTTCACTTATTGTCTTCGTCATTATTCTTAAGAATTTCGGCCATTTTTAAAAACCGTTGCTTGGTAAACTTAATTCCCTTGCCTTATAGATAGAGTGATAAATAAATGTAAAAAATAATAAATAATACACTTTCGATTTTTTTCGTAAAGTCAAACGTTTTAAATCTCAAGTGAAGTATAACGTGAAAAATAAACAAATTACTCCAGTATCCAGTAAATTGATTTGTCACCACACGTTAAATAAAAATTTACACTTAATATGGCTGAAATTTACTAATAGGTAGCATTTCCAAAAATAGGGTGACCTAAATATGTTACATTTACCTACAGATAAATTTTTGATAAAACTTATGTTATTAATTCTTTATATAGGTAAAGTTAACTAACATGTCGTCATCTTTAAGGTAATTCAACTTAGTCTAAAGCTATTAAAGGTATTAACTTTTAAGTCTAATAAGCACAATACGCCATATTTTCTTAACATAATTGAAGTACGATTCCAAATTTCAAATTTTTTAAATTAACTTAACTAGAAAAGAACGGATGAAAATTACAAAAAAAAAACATTATTGATTTTCTAAAGTGATACACAACAAATGTAACATAGTTTTAGCTCATAATATTATTATAATTTTTTTACATCATAATATTTCTTCTTATATTTTTTCTTATTAAAGAGTATTTTGGAAGGCCATTGTTATTTTTCAAAGTAGAACTGTTAACATGCACGACAAAATTTCCTTCGCATTAATTTTAACAAACGCAACCTATTCGTCGTAATTAAATATTATATATGTATATTTTTGTTACCGACATTTATTTATTTTCAATCTTTGCTGTGAATTAAGTACCTATATGTTTTAGTTGTGTTGGTCACTTCCTACAATATTTCGACTTCTATAGATAAAAATACCAAATAAGTATAAAATTTATCTTTTTGCGCACTTGAAGTCATTCGTCATCTGAAAATCTTTGTAGTTTCTACCTAAAGCTGGTTAAATCAACGTCGAATTGACGCTATACTGACGTCAAATTTCCCTAGAGAAGTATTACTAACCAAACGTAGTAGGCTACTACAATGTGGATTTAGGCGTAATTTTACCTATTTTGGTCAATAAAACCAAATTTCGACGTCGTCTTATTCTCCACTTATGTCGAATCCACGTCGAGATAACGTAAATTTTCCTTAAATATGGTTAAATCTAATTTTGCGACCAAATTTATTATACATATTTTAGGTAGTCTCGACGTCAAATTAAACCAAAATGTTTGCAAGGGGTGTTCTAAGCTAGTATCAAAATTCAAATTTTCCTTCCCCTATCTAAGTTTGTACATATTTTCTTTCACTTTTGTCCTCACTCTTTCCTTTTCTGTTAATCCACGATTTTAAAATATTTTCCCCCCTTCTTCCCAATCTATTCTAAATTTTCTGTCGTACTCATTTTGCATCTGTTTTCGTTTTATTCTAATTTTACTTGTATTTGTATTTACTATTCTAAATTTTCTTTCATCCTCCTGTATTTGTTTTAAATTTATCCTAAATTCATATTTACACAAATCTTTCACGCTCGCTTTACAAGTATTCTTCTTTATTTTCTATTTTCCTCTTTACTTAATTTTCTGTTTTCTTCCATTTCCATTCTAATGTTCTTCTTAATTTCTTCAATAACTTATTTTATTTTATTTTTCCTTCGTATTTACTACGTTTCCTACATGTTGAATCTGTCTCTTTTCAATTTTAATTTTTACGTCTTCTACTTCTGCATTTACCTATTCAATTTATGTGTTTATTTCAACTTCTTTTACTTCTATATCTAATTCTTTTTTATTAAATTCTAAATTATCCTCATTTTTTTTATTAACGTTTAAAATTTTTTATAATTATTGTTAAATTTTTTACCTGTCTACTGGCCAATTATTTTGAGCCTTGAAAGTGTGGTTAAATTGACTGTACATTTTTTTTCACCTTGTATGTATTGATTGATCTAAAAACGTTGAAAACATCAAAAAATTTATTAGGTCTCTTAAAACTTCTCTTTTGTCTTCATATAATTTTATATCTTCACTTAGTTCTCTAACTTTTATTAAACTCTTCAATTCTACGTCTATTCTTTTCGCTTGACATCTCGATAATGATTAAAATTCAATAGTTGGTGCGAGTTACCTTCCCATTCCTCGTTTAAATCTGACCAATAATAGGCGCAGGTCGCTGCGTTTAATTTTTCTCTTCATCGGTAATTTTCCCCACTCCTCCGTTTTACTTGTTTAAATCCGACCAATAATAACCAAGATACACGCTTAGGTCCTTTCACACTGCGGATGAGTTTTCTATTCAGCGTTAATCTATACCATGTTCTCTACATATTGTGGTTTTTCCGTTTGCATATGACTAATAATAGCCAAGATACATGATTAGGTCCTTTTGGTATTGCTACTGCGCAAGATTTATCTCTTCAACGTTCTCGAGTTCTCTACATAATGCCGTTTTCCCCGTTTAAATCTTCCCAATAATAGCCGAGATACACGCTTAGGTCCTTTTGACATTGCTACTGCGCAGGATTTTTCTATTCAACGTTAATCTATACCACATTCTCTAGAGGTCTGCTCCAACAACGCTCAGAAACCAGTCAGTGACACCAGGATTCTGCGCAGTAGATAATTTGGCGGTCACAATAATCCTGGATTTTTCTATGCAACGTTAATCTATACCATGTTCTCTACATAATGACGTTTTCGTCGTTTAAATCTGACCAATAATAGCCGAGGTACACGCTTAAGTCCTTTTGACATTGCTACTGCCCAATATTTTTCTATTCAACGTTAATTCCCGACACTCCTCTGTTTTCTTCATTTCAATCGGACCAATAATAACGGAGTTATATGTTTCAATTGTCCACCACTGACAGGTATACCATCTAGCGGCAACTTTGGTACTAGTGGTACCATGGTAACTTTGTCTATCTACTTACCTTATTGGCTCATAACTGCGGTTATTTAAAGCTATCATTTGGGAACGCGAGACCGAGGAATACGACAGACGACAGCAGCAAAGCAGCAAATATTGCCGTATTAAAAGTGCTGTCGTCTATCGCGCCTTCCCAAATGTGTTTTATATAATTACAGACGTGAAGAGACCGTTTTTGGATTTGCTGCTTGCTGCCCGTTGCTTGAGGTCGGTCTCGGTCTCGCCTTCCCAAATAGTACCTTATAGGTACCCTTTGTCGTCTGCCTCGGTCTCGCGTTCCTAAATTTTAGATTAACTGTGGATTCATGCTACATTTACCCTTTGTTGAAGAAACATGTTTAAAAAGATTATGTATTTTTTATTACAATTCTACTTCTAAAAATACGTTATTAAGGCACCCAGTACAATTTTTATTCATTTACATATTTTATTAAATACTGACTTGACAGTATGGATACAAAAGATATAAATCATTCTATTTCTTCTCTCAAATTATGTTTGTTATTTTGCTAATAATTTTGATTTATGGTTTTTAAACAATGGACAATCTATATGAGGTCCGTTAAAATTGAATTGGCTAGGTACATCATATACAGTGCTTGTCTAAAGTCCCTTCTCCCTTTAAATTTTGAACCGAAAGACATTAAAGAACGAAAATTAACTTTAATTAATTTTTTGAAAATTCGAAAACAAATACCCAAATTCCCCATACGAAATTATCGAATATATTGGTTCTGTCCAGCCTTAACTTAATTTGAATAGTTTCTAAACCATATGAAGCAAGGTGAAATCAAAAACAGTTTTAAAAATAATTTTTTATTACTTTTTAAACATGGTTCAACCTAAATTTGTATCTTCAAGACTAGAAAATTTTAATTTACATATCTCACTAAGTCAGTCTCTAAAAAGTACTACAATAATAAAATAAATTAACAAACATTCAAATAAATAAATAAATAAATTATACTCATTTATAAAATCTAACAATAAATTAATGTAACTAACAATTAATTTAAACAGAAACAGAAAAGGCTGTTCATTAATATAAACAGAAGCCAAGAGACTTTGCTATTATGGATATTAATTAGTCCAGTCATACGGACATTGCCAAAGTGGAGAAGAAATTTTCAGTGGCTTATATAATGGTTTTGACAGAACTGAAAACGAAACTGAATATTTCCACCTTGAATTTTTTCGGGGAAAAAATTATAAATAAAAACCAGGTACAAAACTGACTTTTTTGTGAATGTAAAATAATTTGAAGATTACAATTTTAATGCAAGTTGTTATTCCATACGATACATGGTAGTTCTGAGTGTCTTCATTTTCTGCATCTTCTTTATTCGGCTATTTTTGATCCTCCACATTACACAATCTAGGGACCTCATTTCGTTATCAAAAAGAGATGAATTAGTTTTGTAAAAAAAATCGGTCCCTATCGCTACCTAGCCAAAGTGTGGGTGGAAGGTGGGCGCGTAATATTTCAAATGGGTACCTATCAAGGTTGGAAAATTCGGTTACTTCCGAAGCTCTGCCAGGGCATAAACCGTTCTTTTAAGCAAAAATAATATTAGGTCATAAAAGTGTTTTATTTTTACCTGGACGTTGTTATAAAAAACACATAGCTTGAAAGTTATTAAGAAAAACAAAACAACTACTTATAACTGTTTTTTACTTACAACTTTATCTCGGAAAAAAGATTATTGTACTAAAAAATTCTTCACCATTTTTACAAAGTCTCTTTTCACCGTATGATTGGACTATATACGTAAATAAACCAGCTCTATACATAAAATAATATCGCACTGTCCAATTAAATAAAACACAGCTACATTTTTAAGATCTAAAAACTGTGGTCGCAGAAAAAAATAGTGTGCAAAATGTTTGCAAAGCACTTTTCACTCTCGATAGCGACTCGTGATACAAGCTTCAGCACTCGTGGGACGAGTATCGCTTTGCACACTTTGCTGGACGATCTACTAATATTAAAATCTAACAAACAAATACTAAAATGAATCATCAAGAATCGCATATTACAATCCGACTAGAAGATGAGATTTTTGGAACACATCTAATTTCATTATTTGTTTGCTAGACTTTAGTTCATTAGTAAAAATGAAACAATATCAATTAAAATTCTTGTCAAAAAAGAAGATAAAATAATTTGAACATTAACATTGGAAATCAGTGACCACTATTTGGGATTTTAATTTTTTATAGGTAAGCAGATAACATGGTAAGAATCCACAGCGGTTTTATCTTAAACAAATTTACAAATTATTTTATCCAGATAAAACAATGTTTTTAAAATTTTAACTTTAACAGTTCAGTGATTAAATCTAATTTACATGAAATAAAAAAAATTAAACAAAAATTGTACAGTATGCTTATTATCTACCCCACCAACCTTCCTCATGTCCCCATGATGCGTCATCGTAGTGATGATCATGTTGCGCATGTTCATAGTAAATAGCCTTATGTGGTTCGTGTTTTTTCAAGTCCATAAAAAATTTGATCTTCTGTAATGCTAAAATGGACAAAAGAACGAAAAATATCTTCGTTTGAATTCCTGCCGTATACAACTTGAGCATCATATCGAATTTAGCCTTAAGAATTTTTCCAATCATCATCAACTTAACCAGTGTCATCATCCTATTTTTCTTTGGCAAGAGACTTACAGTTTTTATTGAGTCACCTATAAATTGTCCAGACATTAGTATATGGTATATAGTTAAATGTTGCCCTACTTAATCCTTTCTTATAATTTCAAATTGTATAATTTTATAGTCAATTTATGATCAAAAATAGTTTTTTTTTCAAGTTTTTACGATTACGGTTCAGCTACGGTACTTACGACAAATCATTTTAAGAATAACTTAAAAAAAAATATTATTTGTCACATTTGCTGATTTTGTTGCCACGTTAATTTGCCAAACCAAGAGTTGATTCCATTTATAATAATTAAACACGATAGTTTGGTATGGATTTTGCAAATGTTTCTTATGTGGCCCAATACAAATTTATTACCCCGAAACTTACATAAGAACTTACTTATCTACAAAAAAGATGGGGATGATTACTCTGAGAAGAATGTAAATAGCAAGATGTATATACGGATATATACATGAAGAAATATTTGGGTAATAGAACTAGCTTGTGTTTGCTGCATTACCGGTACAATGAGAACCTATCCTACATCCGCAATGGAGGGGATCTTAAAGCTCACACCTCTACTTTTAATGGTAAAGAACGTGGCTAAAAGCGACTTATCCGGACATGGTTACATCATGACAAAATATGAGTCTCCAATCTGTAATATTTATACAACATTGAACTATAATAATATAAGAATTAGAAATCGTTTTCCTCGAAGAATATCGTCTCTATTAGAACAAAATTGTTGGCAAGATAAAGAATGCTCAGGAACAAATATTCAACCGTAAGTCTATTAGCTCGGGACTAAATACTTGGGATATGCCACAGGACGAAATGAGATATAATTACAGTTTAACAAAAAACTTAAAAACAACCTAATCAATAATTAATCGTTTCTGCCTGCTGACAAACAGCATGTCATTCAGCGGTATACGGATGATTTCAAAACCATCGAAGGAACTGAAATAGGCGTGTATAGGCCTACAACCAAGTACACTGAAATTTTGGGTAAGTGTCTAGAAAAACTAAACAAAGCTAGGCAAGAAAAGCATAGCTACTCTCACTTGAGTCCCGAGACACCGCGGGGTCAAGACTAACCAGATTTCAAATTTGTAGTCTTGAGAAGAGGGCTCAAACACCCTATACCGTCCTTCGGTATCAACAGTAACACAATGATAACGTACAATATGGTGGTAAGACCGATAATAATATACTCATCTTTGGTGTGGTGGCCAAAGACACAACAAAATGCGGCTATAACGGGACTAAGCAAGATACAAGGACTCGCCTGTCTTGGAATAACGGGGGCGATGAAAACAACCCCCACAGCAGCAATGGAAGCACTAATAGTCTTAGCACCACTTCACTTTGTGATACAAGGGGAGGCAAGATTAGGTGCTTACAGATTAGAGAACACATTGGGAAATCTTAACATTAGACTAAGTCACATAATCACAAGATTAGTGATAGGGGACGTGCTTGAACATGATAACAAATCACATAACCAAACGTTACTTTCTCAATACTCCAGTCGAGGTTTTAATACCAGACTATAAGGGAACCCAGTTCCCAACGACAGAAACATATCTGGCACACAGACGGGTTAAGGACTGCGGAAGGCACTGGGGCTGAAGTATTCTGCAAAAACCCCAACATCAATCTTAGCTCGGCAATAGAAAGACAAGCTTCAGTATTTCAGGCTGCGGTTTATGCAATCTTGAAATGTGCAGGAACAAACAATGGGAGGGCTATCTCAAATAAGCAGATCCAAATAATGCCAGACAGCCAGGTGGCCCTTAAGGCCATATCAAGTCAGACTGTGACGTCGAGTTAGTATGGTATTGCATTGAAGAACTGATAACTTAAGCTTCTCTATAAAACCGAGAAAAAGCGGGAATTCATTGTTGTCTTTTTTTATATCATTATTTTCCTTGCTTGTTTCTCCACTCATTTATGTCCACGAAGGGTTTTTTAATGAAGGGTAGTTTTCACCTTGCCAAAGGGATGATATATTGTTTACCCCTAACTACTTTCTCTAGAGTTAATTACAAAAAATAGGAAAATTTAGAGGGTAACTTTACCTCTATCGCCCTCACCTATAGGGGTTACCTCTATGACCACAAACTTTAGGATACATTCTCGTAAGGGTTGTTTCGTCACTCAAACCGGACACCGCGCATCTATTGGGTCTTCTACCTTTTATTGGACTATATAGGTAGTACGTAAACAAAACTCTAAGAAAGGATTAAGTTTTGTTAGCGGTGCTAAAATAATATTGCTGTGCTCTGTTTCAATTACTACTTTAGTGGTTGAGCAATAGTGCATGGATAAATACTACTACTGTGCTTATTAGGTTTTAAATACTGTTTAGACCTTATTTTCATTTGTTTTAATTAATTTAATTCATTAGTAAAACTAATGCTACTACTTAAATTTAAAAAATAATAGAATCGAACTAAATTATGAAAAGCAATGTTTTCTATATTTTCGATCCTACAATAGCTATTTGTATTTTAAGAGAAAAAGTGATACTTTGCCACATAAGATAGATCTTCCGAAAGCAGTAACGAACTTTTTACTCAAAATGCACACAATATTTTTCTACGATCACATTATTATTCTAAGAAATAGATGTAAAAACTTAATTTGTAAGTAGTGTATAATGTGTTGCCTATATCTACGTTAATCATGAAAAAACGAGTTGATATTCAAAATCAATTTTAACTCGGGTAATAAAATAAAAAAGTATCAAACTACGTACAAATAACTTGAATATTTTTTATTCAAAAAAAATATTATCATTATTATTATTATTTATCGAATTTAAACTTTATGGTTGTATTTCGAAACGCAAAAGCCTACCTTGGATAGTGATCGTAGAAAAAACCCATTTAATGTATTAGGAAATCTTTAAGTGAACATTTTTCTTATTTTATTTGAAAAAAAAATCTGACTTTTGCTATTTATTTGTAGGTGAATTATTTTGTTGAAAATTGAAATTTCAGAATTTCAGAATTTCAGAATTTCAGAATTTCAGAATTTCAGAATTTCAGAATTTCAGAATTTCAGAATTTCAGAATTTCAGAATTTCAGAATTTCAGAATTTCAGAATTTCAGAATTTCAGAATTTCAGAATTTCAGAATTTCAGAATTTCAGAATTTCAGAATTTCAGAATTTCAGAATTAATTTCAGAATTTCAGAATTTCAGAATTTCAGAATTTCAGAATTTCAGAATTTCAGAATTTCAGAATTTCAGAATTTCAGAATTTCAGAATTTCAGAATTTCAGAATTTCAGAATTTCAGAATTTCAGAATTTCAGAATTTCAGAATTTCAGAATTTCAGAATTTCAGAATTTCAGAATTTCAGAATTTCAGAATTTCAGAATTTCAGAATTTCAGAATTTCAGAATTTCAGAATTTCAGAATTTCAGAATTTCAGAATTTCAGAATTTCAGAATTTCAGAATTTCAGAATTTCAGAATTTCAGAATTTCAGAATTTCAGAATTTCAGAATTTCAGAATTTCAGAATTTCAGAATTTCAGAATTTCAGAATTTCAGAATTTCAGAATTTCAGAATTTCAGAATTTCAGAATTTCAGAATTTCAGAATTTCAGAATTTCAGAATTTCAGAATTTCAGAATTTCAGAATTTCAGAATTTCAGAATTTCAGAATTTCAGAATTTCAGAATTTCAGAATTTCAGAATTTCAGAATTTCAGAATTTCAGAATTTCAGAATTTCAGAATTTCAGAATTTCAGAATTTCAGAATTTCAGAATTTCAGAATTTCAGAATTTCAGAATTTCAGAATTTCAGAATTTCAGAATTTCAGAATTTCAGAATTTCAGAATTTCAGAATTTCAGAATTTCAGAATTTCAGAATTTCAGAATTTCAGAATTTCAGAATTTCAGAATTTCAGAATTTCAGAATTTCAGAATTTCAGAATTTCAGAATTTCAGAATTTCAGAATTTCAGAATTTCAGAATTTCAGAATTTCAGAATTTCAGAATTTCAGAATTTCAGAATTTCAGAATTTCAGAATTTCAGAATTTCAGAATTTCAGAATTTCAGAATTTCAGAATTTCAGAATTTCAGAATTTCAGAATTTCAGAATTTCAGAATTTCAGAATTTCAGAATTTCAGAATTTCAGAATTTCAGAATTTCAGAATTTCAGAATTTCAGAATTTCAGAATTTCAGAATTTCAGAATTTCAGAATTTCAGAATTTCAGAATTTCAGAATTTCAGAATTTCAGAATTTCAGAATTTCAGAATTTCAGAATTTCAGAATTTCAGAATTTCAGAATTTCAGAATTTCAGAATTTCAGAATTTCAGAATTACAGAATTTCAGAATTTCAGAATTTCAGAATTTCAGAATTTCAGAATTTCAGAATTTCAGAATTTCAGAATTTCAGAATTTCAGAATTTCAGAATTTCAGAATTTCAGAATTTCAGAATTTCAGAATTTCAGAATTTCAGAATTTCAGAATTTCAGAATTTCAGAATTTCAGAATTTCAGAATTTCAGAATTTCAGAATTTCAGAATTTCAGAATTTCAGAATTTCAGAATTTCAGAATTTCAGAATTTCAGAATTTCAGAATTTCAGAATATATTAAAAACCAATTACTTTATAAGTTTCCAACAACATGATTTATCTAAAAAACATCAAAAAATTTGTAATTATAGTCCAAATAAGGTTTTGGACTGTTTTGTATATTTTAGAAGGGATGACGGAGTTACTTACCCATGCGGTACACCACTGGCAACGTTTATTTAACTATTTTTTTTGCTGTTAGGTGTATTATAAAACCAAAAAAGTTACTAAAATTATACTGAATAATAAAAAAATTATAGCCATTAATAATTTTTTAATTTTCAATTTTATTAACACCCTGTATTTCGGAAACGAGTAACATTTTACTAAAGCATATTTCGTTTAATCGTCTTTAGTTGTTTTACGTCCCATTCCTAATGATATAAAATTGAGGAAGTCCTAAATGAAACACTTGATAAAACTTTAATAATTAGTCATGTATTATTATAATTTTATATAAAAAATTATTTTTATGTTTATAAGAGACTATAATATGACATGAAATCAAAGCTTTACCAACTTTTGTAAAATAATGTTTATTTTCTAATTAACAACAATCTGTATAAAAATGTTATCAGAAATTATGGCAAGCAAGTACATCATTCTTTGCAA